CTACTTGCCTATTAGCTTTCATTATTTTGCTCATTCCTGAATTACTTAGGAGAAATGGATAAGAGATTTTCCATGTGTTAAAATGATATTCGGAGTTTGCTTTAGGCGCACTTAATACATCGTTGTGATTGTGAATACGTTCACGTGGCATATTACGATCTTAAAAATAAAATCGGGGTATGCGTCGCGCAACTTCGACTAAACGTTCTTAATAATAATAAAGCGTTATTAATTATGGACACGTTCGCGTGACATGATTTTTGACGCACCACACGTGACCTGTTTCAAGATAATTTCTTAATTAAAAGAGGCAAAGGCACATAGGTTCTAAAAATGCATAATTAAACAATTTAATTAAGCCAAGTATAAAAGAAATGAAAGAGACCGAAAGAAAAAACGAAAAAGAATTAGTGGGCGAAGTCTTCTCTCTAGGAAGAAGGTGAATAGTAATTTCGCCACTGTTCATCGGCCATAACTTCTGAATCCGGCGGTGGATTTTTGCAAACTTGGTATCAAAAGATTCATTTTCTCATTGCGCACAATCCCCAATTGGTTTCATAGTAAAACTCATAACCATTTGGTCTAGATCTTAATTCTATTTTCTGCGAATTACTGTAGCACTGAGCTTCCTTGAAAATTTTGAATTTTCTGCACTCTTTTCAAGTTGAAGTACTGAGGAACTTCAGTGGCTTATCTTTTATTTTAACAGTCAAGTTCTGTATTACCAGTTTTTCTTTCTTCTTTATATGGAGTATTGAAGTTCAGTTGTTTTGCTTAAAAATCAACGAAGTGCTGCCATGGCCACTGCGGCCAATGGCCAACTTCCATCTTTGACTGGGCCATCTAGTCAACCTCCTGACCTCACACATCCAGGCACGACAACAAATCCAAATCCAATGGATTATGCAAAGGCGGTAAAACCTACGCCCAACACTTCTACTATGCAAGATAGAACATCAGTTGATCCAATCCCCCTTGACAAGCCTAATTATTTCAAGGATAACCAACTGTATACTTTACAGAATCAGAAGTTGAACGTATGAACTATATTGAAGGACTGCAACAGGCGGTTGTGTGCAAATTTTCATACGGATGGCCAGATATCAATGAAATACATCGAATTGTTCCAATGCAGTGTGGTATCAAAGCTGAATGCAACATTGGATATCTTCGTGACAGGAACATTTTGATTCGGTTTTCATTATGGCAAGATTACGTAGATTTCTCGTCAAAAGGTGTGTACTATGTTAACGATAAGCATGGGGAGGAATACCAACTAAGAACTTTGATCTATGATGCAAAATTTAAAGTTGGAGAGGAGACACCTAAGGTAATGGCTTGGATTTCATTCCCTAATTTTCTGCCCACCTATTTTGTCAGAGAATGCTTGTTCTATCTAGCTTATGATGTAGGTAAACTCCTTCACTTGGATTTGGCTACTGTCAAGTAAACTAGACCTAGTTGTGCTCGTGTTAAAGTGTTGGTGGATCTGCTAGCTGACCTCCCCAAGAAAGTTCGAATGAACATTGTCAATGAAGTAAATGGGGATGTAAGAAATGAATGGGTAACCATTAACTATGATTATTTGCCAAAGTACTGTAAAGAGTGCAAGTTACAAGGCCATGACATGCTTGAATGTTGGAGAATTAATCCTGATTTAAGGGAAAGCAAAAATGTCCAGCAGCAGGAAAATGTCGAAAATGTGAAACAAAGCACTAAGATACCTGCAAAACATGATGCTTCTTTAATGATCCTTACTAGTGGTAAGGTAGTTGGTAATGCAGGTCTTCAATGGAAGGAAGTTCGCGACAATATGGGACTAAAGAAAGGCCAACAAGCTGAAGGTACTACTGCACAAGGGAAAGAAATGGTTCTTGTTAACACTACAACTATGACAAAACAAATACAAACAACCAACCAATTTGCAGTGCTACAAATTGAAAATGGTGAGATTACTGATGGCAACCAACTGGCAGTTGTGGAGGAAACTCCAGTTCAAAAAACCACAGGCAACAATGATATTCAGCAAAATAATTCCACAGCAGGTGTAGAGAATGAATCAAAGGAGCAGGAATTTGATTTTTCAACTAGACAAATGGTACAAAAGGTAACTTCTCCTAGCTCATCTAGGAGACAATCATCCAAGACACAACCCAAGAAACTGAACCCTGCAACACCTACTTTCAATCCTACAACAATAAGAAATCATGCAGCAAATAGAGAATCAACAGCTGATTGTGTACAAAAAGATTTGGGGAATGAAAAACATTTTCACAATGAGTCAACTGCCCACTGGGTACAAATGGCATTCAAAAATAATCTAGTTCAAGTCAATACTTCATGTCAAGACATTCCTTCACAGGACACTAAAGTTGAACAACAATTAACAAACAACAAAGAAAATGAATTTGTTGAAGATACAGATTTTGAGAAATTCAGGACAAATGAAAAAGAAAAATGGGCAGGAGGGAGATTATGGCTCAACCAAACAGAGGAAGACTTAGCAGATGGTCAGATTCCTGATACAATGCATAGTGATGAAGAAGTTGGAGGAAATAAAGTGGAAGATGAGGATCAAAGTGTTAATGGTAATGCCAATGCAATCAATATTCAAAGCATCAGTAAATGCACAAATGAAGCAGCAGCAAAAGAGGGGAACATTAATATTATAGATCCAGGAGGGACTTCACATAATGCTGTTAGTAATGTCTTGAAAGAAGTTGAAAATGCAGACAAGAAACAAGACAAGAATGAAGACAACAATTGAGCTATGACAGTGGAAGTTTATGCAAGAAATACTGTTCCATTGAGCACCGTGCAGGATGTAGCAGGAAGTAACGTCCCTTTGAACAGTACAATGTTGTTGACCAATGAACATGCCGATAAAGATGCTGAACTTATCAAGCATGCAGAGGATATTGTTACATCAAAAGAAGCAGTAGAAGCACATAATCAAGTTAACCACACAGAACTTAAAGGTAGAGACATGGATGAGGAATCCACTGCACAAAATTTCCTTAATGTTGCCAAGCAGGGAGATCTATTGCCAAGGCTTATTGAACTGGTAAAATCTGCAACTAAAGGAAAAAAGAAACAGTCAAAAGAGACTTTTACTGTCCCAGTTAGTGGAGTACAAACAAGGAGAACACTGTCCAAATCCTAAAACATTTAATGGATGCAATTATATGGAATGTCAGGTTAGTAAACACAATGAAAGCATTTGAAAGGCTGATTACAATGCACAGAAAACATCATTTTGAGTTCATAGGTATTCTTGAGCCTATGCAACAGTCTCACAAAATGGAAAGGTATAGAGCAAGAATTGGTTTGGCACAGGCTGTGGTGAATGTGTCAAACAAGATTTGGGCTTTTATTGATGAAATTTTCGAGGTTACTATTTTATATAACATGACTCAATAGCTGACTTTGAGATTAATGCACTTTAAACACATGTTGAGCTCATCCTTACACTAGTCTATGCCAAATGTGATCGCATGGAAAGAATAGAACTATGGGATACTTTGTACGCAATGGCATCAGATATGACAGTACCTTGGCTAGTTGGAGATGACTTTAATGTGATATGGGATGAGGAAGAGAAATATGGGGGCTTGCCAGTTTCTCTCATTGAAGTATACGACTTCAGACACTGCATCAATACCTGCAACTTGACAGACTTGGGTTTTAAAGGAAGCATATTTACATGGTGGAATAGAAGATCAGAGGAGGATTGCATTTTTAAAAGGTTGGACAGATGTTTTGGCAATAATGAATTGCAACAGACCTTTCCTGGATTGGAGATAACTCACCTATCCAAAATTGGGTCTGATCATTGCCCAATGCTGCTCAAATGTGATATAGAAACTCCTCAAATTAAGAAGTCATTCAGATTTCTTAACTTTTGGACAAAGCATGAAACCTTCAAAGATGTAGTAAAGGAGAATTGGAATGCTGATTTTAGTGCTAACCCTTTTTGCATTTTTAACTACTAGTTAAAGAAGCTTAAACGAGCACTATCTACCTGGAGCAGAGCTACATATGGGGATATATTCCAGAAGATTACAAGCCTTGAGGAGGTGGTCCTGGTTCATGAAAGACAATTTGAAGTAAATCCTACACAGATGAATAGACAAAGATTACAACAGGTCCAAGCTGAAATGATTAAATATCTTGCATTAGAAGAAGAATTCTGGAGACAAAAAGCTGGCATGTTATGGTTCAAAGATGGCGATAGAGACACTAAATTCTTCCATGCTCAAGTTAATGGAAGAAGGAAGAAACTGAAATTATCAAGGATCCAAAATAGCCTTGGTAACTGGATCGAAGAAGATCACTTAATAGCAGAAGAAGCAATAAAGTTCTACAAAGATTAATTTACTGAGACTGCATTTCCGAATGATTTTGACATTCTAAATCATGTACCTTCAATGGTAGATACTGATCAACATGAAAGATTGATGGCCTTGCCTTCCAATGAAGAAGTGAAGAGAGCTGTTATGGGGTTGAATGAAGACTCAGCTGGTGGACCGGATGGATTCACTGGAGCCTTTTACCAAACATGCTGGGAAATTATCGAAGAAGATGTTGTTCGCATGGTCAAGGCTTTCTTTAGCGGTCAGCATCTGCCAAAGAGTGTCACTCACACAAACCTGATTTTATTATCAAAGAAAAAAGAAGTTATTACCTTTGCAGACATGAGACCAATCAATCTTAGCAACTTTGTTAACAAGATTTTCTCTAGGGTTATTCATGAGAGGTTGGTGGAATTATTACCAAACATAATCTCAGAGGAACAAGCAGGTTTTGTGAAGGGCAACAACATAGTTGAGAATGTACTTTTAACTCAAGAAATCATTACGGATATCAGGTTGAGAACAAAAGCAGGTCCAAACATTGTAATTAAGCTTGATATGACAAAAGCTTACGATAGGCTATCATGGCTATTTCTGACCAAAGTACTAAGGAAAATGGGATTTCCTGAAGCTTTTATTGGCTTGATCTTTGATTTGATTGGGAGCAATTGGTACTCTATTCTTATAAATGGTCATCCTAATGGTTTCTTCAAATCATCGAAGGGAGTGAAACAGGGTGACCCTTTGTCACCAACTCTATTCATTCTAGCAGCAAAAGCACTTTCTCGGGGATTGAATTCACTACACACTAACCTGTATTTCTGTGGATTTGGAATGCCAAAATGGAGCCCAAAAATAAATTATCTATCATACGCTGATGATACAATCATTTTCTGCTCATCTGATGAAACTTCATTGAGACTTGTCATGGAGGTTTTGAAAGCTTATGAATCATCATCTGGTCAACTGGTGAACAAAGACAAATCGGCCATATACCTGCATCATTTAACAGATAATGAGGTGATTCACAAGGTGGAAAGGATTACGGGTATACGAAGACAATGTTTCCCTATGACCTATCTTGATTGTCCTATTTTTTATGCAAGAAGAAGGGGAGACTATTACCATGGATTAAACACCAAGGTTATGGACAAACTTCAGTCATGGAAAGGCAAACTCCTATCTGTAGGAGGAAGAGCTGTTTTAATCGCAAATGTCGTGCAGAGTATCCCAATTCACATGTTGTCAGCAGTCAATCCTCCAAGTTATGTGATCAATAAATTACATAGCATTTTTGCTAAGTTTTTCTGGATCAGCAATGTGGGAGGGAACACTAGACATTGGGCGTCTTGGACTAACCTTTGTATGCCTTTTAAGGAGGGAGACATAGGCTTCAGGTCCCTACATGACGTATCCAAGGCACTGTACTGCAAATTATGGTGGAATTTCAGGACTAAGCCCACTCTATGGAGTGAATTTATTAGTTAAAAGTACTGCAAGAAACTAAATACAGTAATTGTACCTTGGAAGCGTGGATCCCACGTGTGGAGAAAAATGCTAGAATGTAGGGACTTGATTGAGCATCAAATCTACTGGAAACTGAGGATGGGATCGGCTCAATTCTGGTTCGATAATTGGACTGAGATGGGAGCCTTATATTTTCAAGTGCCTGCAGAGTTTGGTATCGATGAGGATATTCATAATGTCAATGATCTGGTTCAAAATGGTATGTGGAATGTGGATAAAATGTTTGAGAGCCTACCTGAAGATTTGGAACACCACATTGTGCAGAATATTAGACCACCAACTGAAAGTTCACAGTTAGATACTCCTTTTTGGATGCTTGAAACAAGGGGACATTTTACAGTAAAGTCTGCATGGGATTACCTGCGGAGAAGAGCCAACCCAAGATTAGCTTACAAGATGATATGAGTAAAAGGTTTACCTTTCAAGATATCCTTCTTTCTGTGGATGGTGTGGAAAGCCAAACTGCCATTTGATGATTTATTGCGTAAACTAGGATACTCCATGCCATTTAAATGTTGGTGCTGTGCTGATCCAAAAGAGGAGTCATTACTACATTTGTTCTTCAGATCCAATGCAGCTACAAGTGTTTGGAGTTACTTCTTGAGGAGAGTAGGAATTGCATTAGATGGGTTGTCATTATATCAAGCAATTACAAAGTGTTGGACAACAACAGTTGTACCTAGATTGAAGCAAGTATTACAAGCTTTACCTGCATGCATTGTATGAGAACTGTGGAAGAGACGAAACAGTTTGAAATATGGAGAAGCAGTTTCAGTGAGTAGAGTTATTTACCAGGTGTCATCCACTATGCAAGCTCTGGTCCAACTGAAAAAGCCAGGACTACAAGTGCCTCACAAGTGGCTAGACTTATTGACAATGATGGAGCAGTACACACCTCGACTGAAATATGATAAAGTGTTATGGGAATTTCCTTCAAGAGGGTGGATCAAAGTGAATACGGATGAAGCATGTAGAGGGAACCCAGGGAGGAGTTCAATTGGTTTCTGCATAAGGGATGAGGTAGGTGATTTGATATATGCAGAAGGAAGGGAGATTTCTGAAGGAACCAACAATGTATCAGAAGTAGTAGCTATTGCAGAGGCATTGAAGATGTGCAAAAGTATTAATTATTTCCAGATATGGTTACAGACAGATTCTATGCTTTTAAAGAACATTATAGAGGAATCATAGAAGCCTCCTTGGTATATTACTGAACTTGTAGAGGAGATTTTAAGACTGAAGGAACAAAGTATCATCAAGGTCACTCACATATTCAAAGAAGGGAATACATAAGCAGACCACCTTGCCAATTATGCTCTAGATGAAGGAAATACTGAGTGCCATGGTTTCTGGGATCTGGACTCAAAAGGAAGGAGGATCATTAACGAAGATAAGATGCAATGTCCTTACATAAGAGTAAAGGTTGCAAGGAATTAGGAGGAAAAGGGGAAGGAACAAAGCCAAAAAAGAGATAAATATGGAGTGGAACAAAGACAAAATGAGGAGGAGAAACGGAATGGACTTAACTGATCAGCAAGGTCGAATCCTATGGGAAAAGATCTTGATGATCTTCTGTTATACTAATATTTGGTGTTTCTATGCAGGGAATGGTAATGTGGAGATGAATTATCATGATTGTCAATTTCAATGGGTGGTATTAGTACATGGTACTCAATCCCTTGAAAGAGATATCATTATCTGCACAAGCAGGGAACAAAGGAACAGAATGCCCAGATCGTTTGCATGGGGCAGTGAACCTAAAGTATCACAATGCTTATGGCATTCACTGATGCAACTTTTCGAGACAACCTCTGTTAAAGAACAAAAGCAAATCAATAATCGATCACAAAAGTGATGGCATTCAATTCCTTGGATATACAACCAGCATGTTGTACAAGTGCTTAATTTCGAGGAGAATCTTACCATTAAACAAAAACCATCGGAACTTTTAGCATGTGGAGCACGCCAGTTTCGAGAAGAGATGCATACGAAGGCCAATGCTGTTCTTTTGATTTTTGAATGCAAGCACACTTCTTCAAAGTCATGGAATGCACGAATGCTTCTAGCAATTTTATATGAAAGCATGCTTCACAATGTTTGGGTGCTGGAGAAAACTCGGTAGAGGAGCTACAAGAGTTGGGAGGACATTTTAAATTCAAACTGGGAGGCACGCAGTTTCTCACATGGAATTGTGCGCTGGCAATATAATGCATGCTGGACAATGTTTTGGAATATGCTATTTTGGTCATGCATGATTACTAACGTTTCTAGAGGGGAAAGAAGGCATGGGGTGAGTGTGACTTTTGAAGAAAGCAAGAAGGCATGCGCATGGGGTATCGACAACAAAAACCTGGGAGGTGGTTTATTAAAACAACCAACTTCCTAGGCGCATGGGGTTTCGACAATGGAGGGACTTTACAGGTAGCCAATGTCACGCTGAATAAGTGTACAACTGAAAAAGATCTCTCGAGGCAAACAAAAAGCAGAGAAACATGCCTGAAAATGCAACGAACATTGCTAGACAGTGTAAAAAGGACAATAGGGCTTATTAAAATAAGAACTTGGGAGGTTGGATACTGCACACTTAAAGAATGGGGCACAACTTTTAACATAGTGCTTTGGTTATGCTGGACAGTGTGTTTTACTAAATAGCCTATTCAATGCAGCAGGCCTGTAAAGACAAGTTATTCCTTATGTACTCCAAATTACATCTTTTACTATGTAAGGATAGTTGTTATAGTCAACTTTTACAGTAGCTCATATGTGATACCAACAATGAGTGCTTTAATCAGTATTGGTAATAGGAGGAATGTTTCCGTCAAAATTTATCTATTTCATTATGTAAGACCTCCGAACACTGTATTTGTTTTTTGAATTTTATATATATAAAAATAGCCCTAGGCGCTTGCCTAGCGGATTGCCAAAAAAAAAAAATTAAGCCAAGTATGATCAAAGAGACCATGCTAGAACCACGGAATCCGGGAATGCCTAACACCTTCTCCCGGGTTAATAGAATTTCTTACCCGGATTTCTGTATTCGCGAACCATAAATAGAGTCAAACTTCGTCAATTCGGGATTTTAAACCGGTGACTTGGGACACTGTAAATTATCCCAAGTGGCGACTCTGATTTTAAATAAATAATCCCGTTTCGATTGTCACTTTAATTGGAAAAACTCCCTTATACACCCTTTCGGAGGTGGTAAAAAGGAGGTGTGACAGCTCTTGCGACTCTACTGGGGATCAAGAACCCAGAATCTCTGGTTTAGGGTTCAAGAATTCGAGCTTGTAAATATGATTGTTGCTCGACTTTATTTATTGTTGATATTATTGTATTTTGTGAACCTTTTGTGCTAATTGCTGTCCATTTACCGCTTTGATATTATTTGAATTGTATATACCTATTTTCTTACGCCACCCCTATGAGTCTTTGAAAATGGTGCACACGTTCGCGTGACCCGCTTTTTTTGTAAAAGTTATACCAAACAGAACAAGGTTGGGCCAGCAACAAGGCTGGGTAGACTTTCATGCTCCCGGTACGTTGCCCCCTCTTCGGCTCGAGTTGTCCTCTTGGGTAAGCCAGGTCAAGAACCCAACCCCAGGTTTAAGTCTAGAATAACATAACGTCATGCCAGATCCCTAGTAGGCACGTTTGTTTGCATCATGTGAATTTGACTTTGGGGACTCAACACAGAGGTTAGGTCCGTCTAGGACAGGTGTACTAAAAAATAAAAGACCATCCTGACGCTTCTTATGTGCTACATGTTCCATTCTTCAAGGGTAAAAAGGGTCATTTAGTGGACCAATTATGGTTGGAGGTAAATGAGAAAGAAAAGATAGCGAAGTGTAAAAGTGAAGCAAGTAAGGTCTAGTTATATTTTTCTTTCGCAATATTTTTTCAAGAAAAGAAAAAAAAAAGAAAAAATGCCAAATTTTTTTTTTGCACTTTCCCATCATTTTCTGAAAAAAAGAAACAAAAAAAAGGAAAAGAAAAATCCAAAAAGAGTTTACATGTTTCATCATTTTCAAAACAAAAAAAAAAGACAAAAAATATATTTTTTCTAAATTAGTTGTTTTTTCTAATTCTCGCCTGTATCCAATCTGCCCGAACTACGCATACCTGATTCTTGTATTTCGGAGCATGATGTGTAGGCAACCCACATAGAGTCCGGTCTTTTTAGTGAGTCTTAGGTTGTTGGCTTCACGGGGCCTTAGCCAAATCTTGCATTTCTAGCCATCTTTAGGCCGCATAAGCCATTTTGCAAAAATAGCCTCAATCATGTCTTGCATGTGTCCAACATGAAGAGTTATTGTCTCACATAGAGTTCTAGATCTTTAACTTTATTTGGTATTAATTTTCTCATACAGGTGTGGATTTACTTACCAGAGTTTGAGCATGTCAGACGCCCTAGGACCATCCAGTCAGGATCGCTTATTCTTTTTTTTAGGCACGTGCCTAGGGCTAGTTTTTATTTATAACAAAAAATAAAAATACAACAATTAGGAAAAGTAAAAATAAGGGGGACAATAGCAGCGGTCTTGTTACCCATATAACACAAACCGGGCTAACCTTACGTTACTAATCCTATTGAGGCTTGCAAACCTCGCCTACTAACAAGCATGTAAAAAATATGAACTTGAAAGGACCAAGTATTGTATGATCATCACATAGTTTATAACATACTATGTGATGATATTACAGATGATAATACTAAGAAAGTGGTAGAATAAAATGTAGTACCAATTTGATTCTTATCCCTTCTTTTCCAAAGTTGTAAAATCTTCACTTTGTAATTCTTTGTCGTTTTCAACAACTTTGTTCAAAAAGTATTCAAAAATCATGATTTCGTTTTTGACCGGTTTGACCTCATTGACGTAGTTGGGGCAGCCTGCTTTTGTTTGGCAACTCTCATTGGAAGTCGCCTAAAAATTGCTTCCTTGTTGGACCTTGTTGCAATTTTCATCCAGATAGCACCTGCTTTGCTTGTTCCAATATGTTCCTCCACAGTATTTGGTGGGGTATTTAGGTGGTGAAGGCATGTGCCACAGGAAGGCTTGCGTGGAATGAAATCTGGAGCATCCAACTTGCCATTTAACTTGCCAGTCATAATACTTTCAACTTTTAGCGTTTGAAGTTCATCCTTGATAACTCTTTCCACTCGATGGCTCGCAAATTGAAACTTTAGTTTAAGACCATATTCCTACTCCCTTTTCAAATTTGAGCAGTTGAATTTATTTGACAAACGTGCATTTGCCAAAATTTCTGTTGTAGCTGTTTCACTAACTTGCACATCATGTTCCTGCACAACAGAAAATCTAGGTTTTGTTGCTGCATTCTGCTTCTGCTTCACCTTCTTTTTCTTCTTACATGTTGATGCATTTGAGTGCTGCTGTCCAGGGATCACAGAAATGGTAGCATATTTGTTCACATGCTGCTGTTGCCCAGTTTTATTTTGTGCTGCTACTACCATCAAGCTAGCATTAGTTGTATTTGTTCCATCATGTGATTGCCTCGACATAGGAGTGTTCACCTGTTGCTGCTGCGTAGATACTGAAATAGCTGTGGTGGATGTCACAATTTGCTGTTGTCGAAATTCTTTTTTTACTGCTGCTCCTCGATCATCAGTAGGAATTGAAACTGAAGGGCCTGCTACTGCATTTTGGCTTGCATCAGGAGTACTTGTTGTCACAAATTGGAGCTGCCCAGATTTTGGTGTTGCTGTGTATGTTTGATCTCCAGTATGATTATTCTTTGAGATGTTGGGATTAAGTTTCTGTTGCTGCACAGTAGTTACGGCTACTGTTTTTTGGCTTGCAACAAATGGGGAATTAACTGACTTTGGCACTGTTACAATATGCTGCTGCTGTCCAGGATTTGAAGTGGTGAACTGTTGATCATCACTTATAGTAGCCACTAGAGTATGCTGCTGCCCATGCTATTTTGAAAGAGTAACAGATTGACTGCTCAACGTAATCTGCTGCTGCCCAGTAACAACATGTTGCTGCCTATCCTTAAGGACAACTGGAGTATGCTGCTGCCCATTTGACTTCTGGGCAGCTACTGCTCTATCAAAGATTTGCCCTGTATTTTTTTTTGTTGCTCACCTTCAGCAGTATTTTTTGAATTAGCCTTAACACCATCTTTAACACCTGAAGTCATTGATCCCATATCCATATTACCAGTTCCTGCAGCATGCTGATCTCCTGCTGCTCTATCAATTGCTTCATTCACATGAGGTGCATTACCTATAGCTCGATCTGCAATAGATTTCAATGCACCAGCAGTAGCTAGGTACGTTCGTGCAAATATAGTAGAGGCAGGGACATCTCTAGAGGGTTTAGGAGGTCCCTTGTCCAACT